CTTAGATATTAAGTTTGCCGAATATACACTTTACATAACTTCTAATTACAGTAATATATTGACACTAAATATATCGAGTAATATTTTTCACTATGACAACAAATATTTATGTACTATTTGATTCCATTTTACTTTAATTTCAATACAAATTAATTTAAATTAAAAAATATTGGGTTCAATTATAACATGTATATAAAATTAATTGAGATGTAATTAGATAGGATAAATAAGTTGAAACACGAAATCAGTTGAGACATGAAATTGGTTGGGAAGTGAAATAGATTGGGACACGAATTTGATTGGGATACGAAATTGGTTGAGACACGAAATTGGATGGAATATAAAATAGGTTAGGACACAAAATAAGTTGGGACACGAAATAGGTTAGGATACGAAATTGGTTGGGACATGAAATTGGTTGAAATACGAATTCAATTGGGATACGAATTTGGTTGGGAAGCGAATTTGGTTGGGATACGAAATTGATTGAAAAGCAAATTTGGTTGGGATACGAATTTGGTTGAGAAGCGAATTTGATCGGGATACGAATTTGGTTGAGAAGCGAATTTGGTTGGGATACGAATTTGGTCAGGATACAAATTCTGTTTGGTTGGGAAGCGAATTTGGTCGGGATATGAATTTGGTTTGGAAGCAAATTTGATACGAAATTGGTTGCAAAATGAATTTGGTTGGGAAACGAATTTGGTTGGAAACCGAAATTGGTTGAGATACAAAATTGGTTGAGATATGAATTTGGTTGAGATACGAATTTGATTGGGATACGAATTTGATCAGAACACGAATTTGTTTGCATTTTATACAAATTTGATTGGATACGAAATTGATCGGAACACAAATTTGATTGGGATATAAACAAATTTGAATGGGATATAAACGAATTTGAATGGGATATAAATGAAATTGGTCGAAAAATCCTGTATAAATCAAGAAAATTATATATAAATTAAATTAAATTGCTATAATTCACAATAAAGTAAAATATATTAAATAAATTAATAGGAATAAATTCGAATTAACTATATTATTAAAAATATTTAATAGTTTAGAAATTTATTTTAATATAAATCAAAAAAATTTTGAATAAATTAAATTAAATTGTATAAATTTACAATAATTTAAAAAAATATAAATATATAATATAAAATTGATAGGAATATATTCAAATTAATTATATTATTAAAAAATATTTAATAGTTTAGAAATTTATTTTAATTAAATCATATTAGACTGCACTAATTTAAAATAGGAAAAATATATACATTGCACTATGCAATGTGCTAATTTATCACATGTATATTTAAATTATAATTTGTAGATCTGTGTAACAACAAATTTATATACGCCAAAAAATTAATACTAGATTGG